CTTTAAACCTGAAATTATTATAACTGAAAAAAAATGGTCAAAAACTGATAGAAATTAACTGATGTCAGGAATTATAGGGAGGAATCATTTTTTTAAAATAAAGAAATAAAAACAAAAACAAAGAGCAATAGAGCTCGTTTCTGAAGTATTTACAAAATACATTTTGAAAGTGAAATATTTCACTTTCACATACATCCTTGATTCAGTGAATGAAAACAATCATCGAAAGTTTTAACGGTAAAAAGAAAAACATGGCCTTGAAAGCACTGGTAGTTCTGGTGGTTCTACCTCTCCAGCGTATCTGTTCCGGAGGTTCAGGGAGGCCATGAAGTTGGAGTAATCTTTCTTCACACAGGCTGGCCTCTCAGTCAGCTGGGTGGACTAAAGGGAAGAGTGAGAACTTAGATTTATTCAAGCTTTATTTTCATTTTGTATACACAGTGTATAAAAGAACAAATTTCATTTTATATGACTTTTCTGACAGTAAATGAGCAGCAGCTTAGCAGTGAAATGAACATTTCCATTCCATAAGATAAGAACATCTATTAACTCTGCATCTACTCTTCTCCAGACCAGGGATTTCGCAGAGACACCTTTTCGGCCCCTGATTCTTTCCTGATCTTAAACCATTTAAATTTCTGTTCACAGTTTTAATGTGAAACAGAAAAAAAAAAACTAAGTCTATTTGATTAGATATAAGTGATCCAGCTTTTAAAAAGTTAAATTAGTAAATAAGTACATTGAGTATAAGTTTTAGTCTTACCCCCAAAGTGGTGCTTTGTCTGTTGTAGCCAGCAAAGTGCAAGATGCTTTCTGTCGCCATGGCCAGACCCGTGTGTTGAGAGAGACCTGAGACCCAGTTCTGATGTTTGTTGAGGTACTCCTGACGCCAGACGAAAAAACAACAGATAAAAACATGTTTCAATGAGTCCCTCGTCCAGGCTTAACATTACAAATTCATGTCTTCATATATGGACATGAAGTATTTAAAAAGATGCAAAATATACAAATATATTATATAACTATCGTTTCTCTAAATTAGAGGTATTATAAAAAAGATAAACTTATTACACCTACTTTTAGTTTTTATTTTAATAAACTGTTTTGTTTTTTGTTTTTTTTAAACATAGAGCTGCTTTGAACTCCTATACTCCATAGAGGAGATGAATGCAATGAGAAATATTACCTGAAGGTGGGATTTGGTGACAGATGGAGCCCACTTCATGGCCTCCTTCAGGATTTCTCCACACCTCGCAGCAAAATCTTTCACGATGCTCTAAAGGAGGGGCAACCAAGCGGGGTCCGAATAAAGAAAATCATCAACCAGTAAAGGTTTGGAGACATTTTTCATTCTAATCTGTTACTTTAAACAGAATTTAACACTAAAATAAAATGAGGTTTTTATGTATTAATGTTACACACTGACTTCCTTAATAAAAAAAATTTATAAAAAATAAAAAGTAAAATTTTTCCATTTTAAAATCTGAAGAGTTTTTTGAAGTAGAGAATACTTCAGACTTCAGTGTTTAGGCTGAAAATGTTACTTGGATATAACCTAACGGAATATCTTCAGAAGGGCTCCAAATGTCACAAAACAAATATGGGTGAGTAGAACATGATGTAATAACGTAAAATCAAGGGCCTAATGTAAAAAAAACGGCTTTCCCCTTTAAGTGCATTTTTGAGACCACTTTTTTTTTTCCCTTTTGGTCCACTAAGGAGCCTACAAATCATTATCTTAGAGAGGAAAACACAGTGGACAAGTTAAACAAGTGACTGTTGCTGTGTGAATCAAATGCCGTTATTTAAAATAAAACATTTCAGATTTATTTTGAGGGTAAACATGTTGTGACTGCTGCGCTGAGAGGGACTCCTGCGGAAGCGGGAGGATGGGGTTGGGACGGGGGAGGCGAACCACGGCAGCACCTGCCGATGGAGGACAAGAGTAGGAACGATAGGTGCTTTCACGTAAGAGTCTCCAAAAGCCGCCAGTGACACCAGAAAAGTCGCTAGATTTGTCGCTAGTCGCTTTTTTGAAAAAGAGTCGCTGGAGGGGTCTGAAAAGTCGCTAAATATAGCGACAAAGTCGTTGAGTTGGAAACACCGCATGTGCGAACCAGGCAGCCGAGGCAGCATTTTTATAAAGGAGGGCGGGATGCACACTTCGAAAAAAATATAACAAACAAATTTTCTCTCTATGGCGCTGGGTTACAGGCGGTATGAAAGTACAGCTGTGGAATGGTCTGATAAACTGACAGATCTTTTTGTTGTTGTTTTCACTCTCTGTGTGTTTATATAAGACTGTGGCGGGCCCAAACAAGACTGTGGTGGCCGCCACATTATCGTTCATTAATGGGAAACACTCAACTTAGCGCTACTTGGTCCCAATGGGAAATTCCATGGGGACCAAGTAGCACTGAATTGGTGACTTAGAAACGACACTGTCAAGGAACGCTATGGACAGAGGAAACATGCAAGAGGAGGAGAGTTTTGTGTTGGAGGCGGTGGATGAGTCTCCTCCGACATCCATTTTTTATTTAGAGGAGGAAAGCGGGGA